TCACTCTGTTTCACACGGGGTTGCTATGAGTCAGAACTGACTCAATGGCATCTAACTACCACCACCATAATAATTAAGTAATTTAACACACAATCTCCTCAGATGACTATTTTGAAGAAAAGTACATTCATCTGTATGCTCAGATTCAGGTGCAGTTATTAAAAATCCAAATAAAAGCTATTACATGGCTATAACACTAGGTTGAGTCATATGAAACTGTCTTTAAAGGTCAGTCTGTCAAATATTAAACCAAAAACCAAACTTACTGCCATCAAGTAGATTCCTACTCACAGAGACCCCTATTTCTTGTTGTTGTGTGCCGTCGAGTCAGACCTGACTCACAGCAACCCCTCCTTGGGTTTCCTATGGAAGTAGATTGCCCTATCTTCCTTCTGAGGAGTGGCCTGTGGGTTTGAACCACCAGCCTCCTGGTTAGCAGTCAAGTGCCTTTAGGCACTATGCTACCAGAGCTCCGAGACCCCTACAGGACAGAGCCAAATTCCACCACAGGGTTTCCAAGGTTGTAAATCTTTACAGAAGCAGAATGCTTCATCTTTCTCCTGCAGAGCAGCTAGGGGGTCCCAACCACCAACCTTCTGGTTAGGAGGCAAATGCTTTAAACACTACATCACCAGTTGTTGTTGTTATGTGCTGTTGAGTCGTACCCGACTCATAGCGACCCCTCGAGTTGCCGAGGCAGTATCGCTACAGAAGTTGGTTGCCCAACCTTCCCTCCGAGGAGTGGCTGGTGGGTTTGAACCACCAGCTTTCTAGTAAGCAGTCAAGTGCCTTAGGCACTATGCTACCAGAGCTCAACATTTTTATATTGCTCACCTTACAACTTTCTTATTTATCTTGCTCACGACTGAAGGAAAGCTCTCTCAAGGTTTATTCAAGAGGGAAAGAGATAATTATATTTTCTGTACAGTAGCAGAAAATGAAGGAATTCTACCTCCAAAGCATCTTTGGAGGACACGTAATTCAACTTCATGTAGCTATAAGAGGAAAATTAAGTTAAGTATCTAGAAAAAGGATCTTAAGATAAAATATTTCTAAGAAAATACTACAACTATTTATACATTTTAATAAATTCAATTTGTTTGTTTCTCTTCTTCCTGTACAAAATTATAAATTATAGGTATTGCCTGGGATAAATGTCCTCCTCCCCCAAGAAGAACAATTACTGCTGAGCTGAGGTTCACAGTAAAGATAGTAAACTCACACTTATCACTTGAAACAGCTCTGGTGACCCAGTGGATAAGGCATTTGGCTGCTAACCAGAAGGTCAGCGGTTCAAACCCACCAGCAACTCTGTGGAAGGAAGATGGGACAACCTACTTCCATAAAGATTTACAGCCTTGGAAACACAATGGGGGTCCTTATGAGTCAAATAGACTTGATGGCAGTGAGTTTTTACCACTTCCGGCTTTTCTAAAAAAATAAAATGTATTTGAGAGTCATCAGTTTGCAAAGGAGCACAATGATCTTAATGTTAAATTCTTACTTAATAATCAAAGGAATTATTTAACAATTTTGTACAACATTCATCTGATAAAGATGCCTTCCTTGTTTAAGAATCTTAGATGGTTTAAGGGTATTAGAGAAGTATACTAGAGGATATCACCACAAAAAAAAAAAAAAGACATAGTCTATCACTAGAAAACAGTTCAAGACAAAAATATTAATTCAGTAAGAAAATATTTCATATTCCTTTAGTCATAGAACTAGTCATTTAATTAACTCATTTCTACATCAAATTATGCAGTGTACGTAGCTATTCCTTTCTCTAGTTTCTCATACAAAAGTTAGAAAGTTTTTACAAAACAGAGCAAGAACTCTTTAACACAGTCCAAGTCAATGCTAATGGTTTCAAGTCAGGGCTTGGAGTAGGCCTAAAAGTGCATGCTCACAAGCCAATGACACTTACTTGCACCCCAGCCTAATGCTCTTTTTGTTTTTTGAAAAAAGATCCAGTTTCTCTCTCTTACTAATGAATGAATCCTTGTACCTTACCTAATAAGACAGATAAATTCCTGCAAATGTACCTATAAATTAATGTAATGTCATTCAATGTGGAGAGCAGCTGAAGCCTAATTGATACTCTGGCAGTCTCCTGATACTGTTTCCACCTTCATTCTATCTAATACATAAAAATAATACTTTAACATGAAGTGTTCATCCTGCCTGTATGCGTCCCCTAAAATACTATTTTAAGAGAGTTAGAATTAAGTAAAATTAGGACACAAGAATTAATGGATACACCTAAAAAAAACAAGAACTGTTAAGTGAGGACTGCTTCCTGTAATCTTAGCTACATTATCTCAAGGATGTTTTTCATAATGTAATACAATAAATACTATAATGGAAATGTAAGGGTTCATTTATTCCTTTTTGGTTTACAAACAAAGGCACCCAATAATGCTTCTATTTAATTATTAAAAAAAGATTATCAATTTACATTTAAGACAAACAAAAACAAAAACCCAACCAGTTCCTGAAGACAAACACAAAAAAAGACTTTATCCTCCCTGCTTCCAAGCTTTATTACACGTATTCAAAAACTGTTTATTTTATACCATTCTTAAGTCAAAGCATACATCACTGCCCCTCTCTGTATTGAGTTTTAGGACACAGTAATTGTGTCAAGTCAAATTTAAATATAGTGACAATGAACTCACAATTGACAGATGCATATGCTAGAATTGTAAGAGTTAAAAATGAATGGAGGGGGATGCCAAATGTTTTAGTATATAGCTTTAACAAATGAGTTAAATGAAATATTAAATTTATTTAATATAATAAGCTATCCTGTCAATTAGTGAAAGTTTGTGCAGAAGATATCAATCACAGAACTAAAAGCTACATCTAACAGAAATGATTTCCAAAACCTTTAACTTCGGACTTAAGCTTAATGTCCGGTTGGCAAGGATCAAAAAATCTACATTCTTTATAATAGTTTTAGAACTTTAAGTTCCAAATGACATACTTATTTAATTTATTCATTAGTTTTCTTCTGACAACAGAATTCTGAACAAACACACATACAAAATTAATGTAGTGGCCTCAGCATTTTCCCAGTTGGCATTTCTCTAAAAGTTAGATTATAAGAACAATAAAATAGTTCAGAAGACCTACACCCCCTATACATTTCACAAACCTGCCAAAGCTGTACCTGATTCTTTTGCAATATACAAAGACAATTCAACTCATTCTAGGTATATTTGGCAAAGTATAAAATCATACAAAGTTAGCATATTTTCAACACATTATGGAAATGTATTTGGAGAGATGGAGTAATCAATGTACAGAGCATCAGTAGTTAACCAGATGGGCCACTCTAAATCAAAAGCATCATATATACCATTTAAAACATTTTCATGGTCTCACACACCTTACACAAGGTATGGTCCTAGACCACAGACTTTAGTATCATTTCAGAGAATACATATATATTTATATACATACTTTCTATTAAAATAATGTTTAAAAGTTTTACTACAGAAAATCTGGCTCCAACATGGAAGCATTTTTCCTTTTCAAGATTTTACACCTGCAAGAAGGTGATTTTCTTTACATTTAGTTTTTTCACAATAACAAAATAAAGTTTTTATATACTGCCTTTAAATTGACAAAGAAAATTTAGATGTAAAGTTCTATGTAACTTTTTGTATTGTGAACTGACATCTTTAAACATATTCAAGATATACTGCTCATTATTTAAATATATACGACTTGATCATTTCAATTAGGAACAGTATTATGCCGAATAATTTGTCAAACCAAATGTATGCTAAAATAGTTCAGTAGAATTAACTACTATTAAGATTTGAAGGGAATTATAATGTATCATTAAAATATACATCAATTTTCTTGCTACTACTTGTTTTCTAAAATGCATTTCTTCCTAAAGCTAAAAACCACATGCAGAAAAAATAGATGGTATCTTCAAACTCATTCAACAGTTTGCTACTTTATGTGGTATGTAAATAAAGTTCTTTATTTAATTTTATACACATTATCTTATTCTTCTTGAAGGAATTCAACTTTCAAGATCAAAAATCAGTATGTGTTTATACACATGAGAACATTTTTTGTTACTACTATCTGCAAATACATTCTTCCATAATAATGCACTTCCAGTTTCCAATGGAAAGATAGTACAGGTCTTTTTAAAGTCCTATGAATAAAATTTATAAAGGGAGTTGAACAAAAGTATGGTGAAACCCTTCCTGCCACTCAACCAAAGGCTCAAAAAATCCTCCTGTTCCAAAATATGAACAAAATTATCACAGGATTGATTTTTATTTGATCATAATATGGACAAGAAAATTTTCTTTTTATTATTTTTAATACTAACAGTTTTATTAAATTTATTTTCATGTTACTTCAAAAAACATATCTTTTATGTTGATATGGATTCTCAAACACATTTAGATCGAGTATGCTCTTTAGGATAATATACAGCCTTCTGATTATGAAAGCAATTGATTGTTTATAGGAAAACAATCCTTAAGAATTTAATCAGCCTTTAATTAGAAAAGAAAAAAAAAAAAATGAGAACATGCCTTTCATGTTTGAGACCACTCAGTAATAGAATGATGTAAAAACAGCTTAGCTATAATTTTAACAATACCAAAACCATTTTAACTTACGAAAAAAATCAAACACTGATGAACCAAATATCTACCAACTTAGCTAATATTCCTGTCCAAATAGATGCTTTCCTTTGCACTGAATATTAGAATTAGAAATTCACTGTATGTTTAAGGCATATTTTAATTAATATGTTCCAGAATTGCACAGTTATACTGGTCAGTGTTCCTATTTTCCCATTCCTACCCTCACCCCGCCTCTGTCCCCAAGGGATCAAAACATTAAAAGTTATGATTTTGGTGGCTATTGTAGATTTGAGCTGGCATACCACAGTGTGTTCACTAGAATTTTATGAGCATGAACATTAAAATGTTACATAAGATGTATCATAATTAACTCCACACTCTGATCTAAGATAGTTTAATGTCTTGACAAAAAGGAGAGATGACTTAAGTACATTTTACATTTTATGCATTTAGACCACCATATGCATAGATGTTCTAATGCTGAATTCTTGTCTTCAGTATCTCATAGTGCTGGATGCTCGGAAGTATGACAGAAACTTGTAACACAGACTAACCACAAAGTACCAGATGTTTCTTGCCATTTGTGATCTTGCAATAAAAATGCGCCAGATCAGGATCACAAGGATAGTATTGAAACCATAACGTATGTTCCTCAACCTGGAAATCAAATGAAGAGACACGTCAGACAATTATTTCTACAATATTATATTGTTGGATGGCAGCTAATACTCTGTTTTTAATCTAATCAAAGTTCAAATCTGAATTGATATGAAACTTTTTGAAAATTAAACTAGAATTCCCTAAGTTACAAAGTTGGCAAAAACCAAACAAACCTGACTATGCATTATCTATAAATAATGAATTTCAAAAATTTTCACAACAATATATTTGGGATTCAAATTTATCCATTCAACAAATTATTATCGACCATCCCATTTGCTCAGTACTGTGATGGGTATCAAGTATACGGAGGTAAAAGATATGTCTTTTGAACTTCTAATCTAAAAAGGTTTATTATATACATCACAATAGAAACAAAATACAGTAAGTATTTTTGACATCTTTAGCTGCTTACAAGCTGTCAGACAACTGAAATATTCCTTCAATGATAACAGATAATCACATGATCAAAGGTCAACTGCACAGGTCCTCATCCAAGAATGAAATATGGTATTAGCTCCTTAAAGGATTACCTTCTCATTCTCAAAGAGTAACACAAGTCACTTTGCTCATGTTTCAAAACTCTTTTGATGGTGCTTGAAAGGAATATAAACCTTTAAGATATGCAGTGATAATATACAGATTATATTTAAAGTCCATTAACTTCAGCAGGCAGTGCAAGATAAGACTGTAATAATATAGGAACAACAGATGTAAAGAAAAGAGCTTTGAATTAGGAGCCCAAAGACCAGCATTGTAATTTGCTTTGCCATTTAAAATAAAAGGAGCCCTGGTGGTGTAGTGCCTAAGGCACTTGACTGCTAACCAAAAGGCTGGCAGAAGGCTGGGCAATCTACTTCCGTAGTGATACCACCTTGGAAACCCAAGGAGGGGTCGCTATGAGTCAGATCTGACTTGATGGCAGTGTGACCTGGAAAAAGACAACTTCTGTAAGCCCCAGTTTCTTCATTTGTTACACTGACTGCCCTGCAAATTCTCTCAGAATTGTGTAAAATGAGAAAGTTATAATGTGAAAGTTCTGAAAACTGTTATTAAAAACTGTGTGAAAAAGCACTATACAAATAAAAGAGGTTACTAAAGGTATGTAGTCTCTAAATAATGGATTATTGATTTTTCCTCTTCTACTTTCTCATTTTTTACAATCAGAATACTAAGTACTTTTATAAAGGAACTAACAGAATAATAATTCTTTTCTAAACAAAGTTAGAATTCTATATTAAGTGATGTATTGTTCTCTCTCGTCTTCTTACAAAAATGTTTTTGAATAAGGTAAATAAATTATATCCAGTTTAAAATATATTTTTATTTTTCCCTAATAACTACTTCTTCAGTAATAATATAAGAAGAGTAATAGTAATTTTTAAAGCTAAATTCCACATGAATTTCATGCTAAGGAGTAATATTATTTGATAAAAATAGTAAGTTTCAACAAATCTTAGGCTAAAAGTAATACTACTATAGTTCCAGTCCAAAGATAAGTTCTTTTCCTAGATAGAACAGATTAACAGGATCTTTCAAGGCAACTTATGAAAAAAAAAATATTTCAAGCAGTAAAAGAATAAATTAAACCTATGAAAAACTTACTTGTTCAGATGTTTTCTGGCTGCAGGGAGGCCAGACATTTCTTCATTCAATACGTATTTCTTAGTTCCCATGCAGTAATTCTCTATATATTCTGCCCAATGTAACTGCCGTACATCAATATTAAATGTCTACATAACAAAAAAATTATTGGTTATTTTAATTTTTATTACAGCTAATCACAAAGCCCCTATTTTTCCTATGTTGCTGTTGTTATGTGCCATCGAGTCAGCCCTGACTCACAGCGACCCCTCCTTGGGTTTCCGAGGCAGTAACACTACGGAAGTAGGATTGCCCAACCTTCCTTCCGAGGAGTGGCTGGTGGGTTTGAACCACCAGCTTTCTGGTTAGCAGTCAAGTGCTTTAGCCACTATGCTACCAGATTTCCTATAGGCCAATTCTAAAAGACATGATAATAAAATGTTTAAATATGGAATTAACTTTTGAAATCTTATTGCTAACCACAGAATATTCTTATTCCTATTTCATGCTTTCTGTTAAATAAAGAAATATTTGAGAAGATAATCTGAAAACTTATGTCAGCATTTGAAGAGCAGTGTGTTAAGTGCAAGGAAAAAGAAATCTGCACTATTTTAATTAGGGGCGGGGAGAGGCAAAATCCCATTGTCCAAATAGATCTATGTATTCCTCACCACTTTATGCATTTCCAGTTCTCTTCTATCTGCAGTCCCTCCTTTCTTCATTACATCCTATAACCCACATAGATTAATTTTCCTAAGAACACTTTAGACATCAAGAGAATGAATGTGTATCAAAGCTAACTTAGGCTTTCAGGTAATAGTGAGTAGGCCTTTTGATGAAAACAATAGATACGTCTAGAAAAGAAAACCATACAGAAATGTTACTTCATGGCAAAATAAGAGGGCTATGTATCCTCAGGAGCTCTGGTAGCATAGTGCCTAAGGCACCTGACTGCTAACCAGAAGGCTGGAGGTTCAAACCAACCAGCCACTCCTCGGAAGGAAGATGGGGCAATCTACTTCCCTAGTGATACTGCCTCAGAAACCCAAGGAGGGGTCGCTATGATTCAGGTCCGACTCGACGGCACATAACAACAACAACAATGTATCCTCAGTGCTCCTTAGCCCACAATCAGATGATTTTGTTTGGAATGACAAAGAGATTAGTCACTTAAGAGCATCACTTAACTAAAAACAGTAAATGCATATGTATACGCTTCTCATAATATTAACTCAAGCCTCTAATTTAGTGGAATGTTACTATATTTTCATAATTTTAATTATTTACTTACAGTAGCAGTATCTAAGAATAGCTGAAAATTTTACAAAAATCATGATGTATCAAGTCACAAATTCATACACATAAATCTAGGCACATGACAGTAAAACTGCTGAAAGCCAGAGAAAAATTTTAAAGAAGAAAAACACCATATCAATTGCCTCTAAAGAAACAATTATTAGAATGACAGCTGACTTCTGAACAGATCCAATGGAAGCAAGACAATGAAAAAATGCCTTTCGGGTTCTCACAGAAAATAACTGCTAACCCAGAATTCTATGCCAATAAAAGTATTCTTGAAAAATAAAGATGATTCTAGATGGCAAAAAACGGAAACATCTGACACCAGCAGATGAGCCACACTAAAAGGTATTCTTCAGGCAGAAGAAATAGGACCCAAGATTGAAGTCTGGAGATGGAAGAAAAAAATAATAAATAATAAAGAGGCAAATATACTGGTAAATCTAAATAAATACTGACTTCATAGTAATAATAACTGCTTGTGAGGTTTAGCATATATACAGAATTATAATGTGTGACAAAAGCAGTACACAGATGTTGGACATTGCGTAATCCAAGTAAAGGGGAAGTTTTGATTTATATTAGTACTTGATAAATTAAGGAAGGATGCTGTACTCTCTAAACTACTAAAGCAATCCAAAAAAAGAATACATTTCAATGAAACCAATATAGGATATACAGAAACTAAACCAAACTCAAACCCAAACCCACTGCCATCGGAGTCAATTCCGATTCCTAGCAACCTCCACTGGGTTTCCAAGGCGGTAAATCTTTACAGAAGCAGACTGCCCGGGATTCCTTCCACAGAATGGCTGGTAGGTCTGAACCATCAGCCATCTGCTTAGCAGTCAAATGCCTTAGGCACTGTGCCACCAACAGGAATATTGAGACTTTTCACTACTTCCAGAAGCTCTTTATAATATAGTAGGAAATGCATAGTAAAACCAAACTGAAATATATTACATACCCACCAAAGCTGTTAAAATTAAAAATTAAAATTCTCAGTGTTGGAGAAGATGTGGATTAATAGGAACTCATACCCAGTCAGCTGGAATGTGTACTGGTACAACTACTTTGGAAAACTGTTTGTCATTATGTATTAAATAAAAGTTATGCATACTTTATGACCCAGCTATTCTCCCAAGGTATATATATACCTTACAAAAAATGTGTGCATAGGGGCAACAAAAATGTTCATAGAAAAATTACTCATAGTAGCCAGAAACTGAAATAACTCAAATGTCTATCACAGTAGACTGAAATAAACTATAGTTATCTTAACATAAAGGAAGATACTAAATAGTGAAAGTAATAGAATTCAGCTAAATGTAACATGGATAATCTCATGAACATACATTAAATGAAAGAAAATGGATAAAAAATATTGTATGATGCCATCTGTTTAACATCATGAAAGCTGTATGTAATATGTAATATCCTGGAAGGAATCGTGAAACAGAAAATGTACATTAGGTAAAAACTAAGTATACCTTCTACTCACTTATCAATTATCTCAGTATCTGGCATTCATATTTACAACAATAGTACAAAATCAGCTATCCAACTATTTCTAATATTAATGACATACATCTGGCAGTAATGAATGCCAGGTGTGAGGAGAGAAGAACACTGGCTGTGATGGTTAAGGTCGTATCAACTTGGTTGGGCCACCATTCTCAGTGGTCTGGCAATTATGTAATGATATTTGGCAGTTACGTAACGATACAGTCATCTTTCATTCTGTGATCTGATATAGTCATCCTCCATTTTCACATAATGCAGATTTCACATAATAGCCTGATCTTTGGAACCTAACCATGTCAGTAAGTGAGGGGAGGATGTGAATCTAAATAAAATACGAACTTTAATTAGTAATAATGTATCGATAACATTGGTTCATTAATTCTAACAAAAGCACCGTACTGAGATAAAATGCTACTAACAGAGTATACTGACTGCCAGTACAGGGGATTCTCTGTACTAAATTCTCAATTTTCAATAACTATTCTTAAAACAGTAAAAATAAAGTTAATTTTAAAAGCTAGACAAAAATTAAATAGAAAAAATGGTTAAAACAAACATTTAGTTTGGAATGCACGAGTTTTTATCTTTATTACCTCAAAACTGAAAAGGTAGTGATGGGGAAGGAGCATGTGGAGCACTTTTGAGGTAATAAGGTTCTATTTTTTTACCTAGATGTTTGCTTTCCAGTAGTTCACGGTGTGGATGGGGGAGGAGGAGTGAAGAATCAACAGAAGCCACAAACTGACAGTATCTGTAAGACTTTAGTAACCTAGACCTTCTTCTGCTTGAAAGGCTACATGGGGTGAGGAAGACTAGTTATAAAGGGTAGGTAGGGTCCTATAAGTTGAGGATTCTTGTAGAATAAGGGAGCGCTGTTGGTACAGTATTAAAGGAGCGCTGTTGGTACAGTATTAAAGCATTTGACTGCTAACCAGAAGGCTGGTGGTTCAAACCCAATAGCCACTCTTCGGAAGGAAGACTACACAATTTACTTCCATAGAGATATCACCTCAGAAACCCAAGGAAGGGTCACTATGAATCGAATTGAATCAGTGGCAATGAGTTTGTTTTTTTTCGAGTTTTATTTTCTAATAGAAAATACTTGCCTTCTTATCTTCAGGGTTTAGTTGATTCATTAACATAGTGACATTGTCAGTATTCCAAACCCAAGAATTACTTGTGAAATATTCAAGAAACACCATAGCCTTATGAAGGCGAGTTATTGTTTTCATCATCCTGTATTATAAGAAAAATTGGCAGATTCATATTTTGCATAGATTAGAGAAAATTCTACCACCACCCAAGATACCAGTAAGTGCCAATGTAGACATTAACATTAAAATTATAATGCATAATTCAGTAAGCACATAAAATCAGTAGTAAATTAAGAATATTTCTGCATTTTAGAATAAAATTTTATAAATCCAAAAAGAAAAACAAACAGCAGCAAATGAATTTAATACTCCCTAAATAGAGTTCTGCTGATATATAGAATTAATTTGCAAAAGGAATTTAATACTCACAAAGTCAAATTTTACGTAAGATACTAGCAAAGAGATAAATTCAATTAATATCCCCTTGCTTTTTTGTTCTTTAAACTACATTTTAGTTTAGCTGAATTTACGAAGATTTTCTGTAAACTCATAATACAGTATGTAACATTCATATTCTAACTCTATAGCATCACTGAAGCAAAGAATACAGAAATATTCATTTGTCATTTAGTCAACTTTATTTTAAAAAATAATTAACTTCCTGTTTAACACTGGTGCCACTCCTGTCATCTGGCTGTGCCATGATTTCAATGACTCACGCTGAAACTGTCTGAAATAGACAATCAAACATTTCATCTCCCTATTTACCCTCAATATCCCTCCTTACAGACGTAACAGAGTTCAGTGATGTTTTTGTTTGCTTCATTTTAAAAGGGCAGGGGCCTTAATCTTTAAATCTGTCAGCTTATCCCACATGGCATTACTGCAAGTCATTGATATCATAACACTAACCCAAGTGATAACATCTATACAATGCAATAATTGCCCATGATAAGCAAGGAAAAAGAAAAAAGAATCTTTTAAAACAAAATACCCAAAATCATGAAATCCAAATAAAAAGAAAAATGTTTTTGAAGAAATCTTAATAATTCCATTATTCTTCCAATAATAAGGATTGGCATTATATATAGTTTAGAAAGCCCCCAAATTAAAGACATACATAAGAACTGAGGTGAAAAAAAGCCAAAACAGCACCATTAGCTAAGTAATTCTGACAACACATCTAAAATATTTAGAAAGAAACCCTGAATACAGAACACTGTGAGAAATGAGGCGATGTGGTCTAGACAAAGAAAAACTATAGTTCATGCAATAAAGTAATTCCATTAAACATGAGAAGAGTTATCAAGCATCAAAGGCTCTATTTATTGATAGAAAGTACTTGGAGGGGAGGAGATATGCTGGTTTTAGAAAGGAAGAAATTAAGGCAATTTTCTTCTAAAAACCAATAAAAAGACGTAACAGATTTGTAACTAAATCAAAATACACTATCACAGTCAGTATAGTATTCTCAAATGACAACACACACACTTGGATAACATGGTTTTCTAACACATATCATAGTGAAGTTTCTCTTCATATTTTCACTGACCATTCTAATCTAGTCTTAAGATTCATTTAGCTGACAGAATTACCCTAAAGACAATCACTGATTCAGTTATTCAAAAAATAAATACCATAAAAATAGGTGGTAATGAAATTTAAAAGGCCATATATATGTGTAAAATTTACAGACTATCAACCTACAACATACTGCACTGAAGGGCACATCAAGCTCAACTGGCATAACATACTACACAAACACATTGTTCCACCTCCTACTTTGGTGAGTAGCGATTGGGATCTTAAAAGCTTGCAAGCATTCATCTAGTGCAACAATGGGTCTCTCCTCATCCAGAGCAAAGAAGAATGAAGAAAACCGAAGACGCATGGAAACAATTAGTCCAAGTGACTGGTACACAATGTGATCCTCAGCCTCTATGACTATGAGACCAGAACAACTAGACAGTGCCTGGCTACCACTGTCAACCACTTGGAGGGAGATCTATGTAGGAGATCCTGTATAGAATGGGAGAACAATGTGGAACAAAACATCATTAAAAATCATTAAAAAAAAAAAAAAAAAGGGAACAGATTTGCTGGTCTGGTAGAGCCTGATGGAACCCCTGAGGCTATGGCCCCTAGCTGCCTTTCCGGTCTGGAATTGAACCCACTCCTATGGTTTCCAGCCAAATGGCTGCCAAGAATTCTTTGAACACTGACATTAGTAGATATACTCTTTGGAGAGATCAATCATGGGAGAACAGAAAGGCTGTGTATACACAGGGAGACAGCTTGGGGGACAGGAGTGCATGGGAGGGGAAGACACAGGGATGAGGTGCCTATGGAGAGGATGTGGAAGGCGAGCTGGTGCACTGTGGGAAATTGTAATCAATGCTATGAGACCAAGTGTATGTGAGCTGCTGTACAGAAAGTGAATTTGCTCTATAAACTTTCACCCAAATCACAGTAAAAATTTAAAAGAAAAAGAAAAACAAAAAACCAAGTACTGTACTGAATACTATGGTAGATTTAAGAAACTTTAATGATGCACTATCACTCTTTGGTCAAGCAGGCCATAGGAACAGATGCTTGTGATTATGTTGCCATGTATGTTCCAAGTATTTTATTTATTATCTTATTATGGTAACATTAAAAAAATGACAATCCTTTATAGTAGTACGTCAAGATCTTAATGGACATCTAGTTCAGAGTTTCTCAACCTTTGTCATTGGGGCCTGTCCTGTGCGTGGTAAGTTGCTTGGTAGAACCCTCTGGTCTCTTCTCATTAGATGCCAATAGCACCGTGTCTCCCACAGTTTCAGGAACTAAAAATGTTCCAAACAGTATCAAAGATTCCCTAGGGGGCAAAAGTTTTCCCAGTTGAAAACCAAAACCCACCCACTGCTGTGAAATCAACACCAACTTGTGGTGACCCTATAGGACAAAGGAGAACTGGGTTTCCAAGGCTATAAATCTTTACAGAAGCAGACTGCCACATCTTTCTCCCACGGAGCTGCTGGTGGGTTTGAACCACCAATCTTTTGGCTCACAAACGAGCATTTTAACCACTGTGCCACCAAGGCTCTTAGTTTAGAACAACAGATGGAAAATATCAAATTAGGAAAGTTAAACTCAAGAAAGTTAAGCTAAATAACTAAAGCAGAGACCATGGAACCATTGTTTTTGAGATGTACTTTTAACTGAGTATTTCAAGTGTTAACTGAGTAATTTACCCTGCTTCTACATGTAACAATTTCATGCATTCTAGTCCACAATTAACCAAGAATCCAAGTGATGTATGTCTGAGTTATACTTTTTATAATTATGTCAAGATACAGCAAGTCAGATTTTTATCTAGCTGCCACTCAGAAAGATATGAGTAAAGTGGACACCATGAATGACATGATATTAATTTAATATAAAAGTAGGCATTATATTAAAGTTCCCAATTTATGGTATAAAGCCTAGTGCCTTGCTCAGTAAATAACTACACAAATTTAAAAAGATAAATTTTAAAACTTTGTAGGTATCATTTATAAAACTGCCAAAATAAAAAAAACCATTATGTCCCTTGTTGCTTTTAGACTATAAGCTCCCAGAGGACAAGAATCATTCCTGCTTTGATACTTAGAAAGCTAGCCTTTGCACAGGACAAACATCAAGCATGATTCTTACTTGTTATTTTCTATTTATGGCAGAGATAGCTGCAAAGATAGCTGCAACAGTATCTCCCATCCTACATATGTAGCTCATCTTCAATTTTACCTTAAACATCCTCCCATGAAAGGTGAAGGTCACTTGTAACCAACAGAATGGAACAGAAGTAACACTGTAACTTCCAAGGCTACATTAGAAAAAGTGATGGAGTTTTCAGCCTTGCTCAGTGGAATACACACCTTTGAAGCCTTCAGCTATCCTGTATATGCTGTCCAACTCTCCCTGAGGTTGCTATGCTGTGAGGAAGCCCAAATTGGTCCATGTGGAAAGACCACATGGAGAGGCTGAGACTATAGGCATAGAGAAATATGCCTGAGCACAGCTGCTCTGCACCTCTTTATCCCTCTTCCCTCTACGTTGTGGGAGTTCTCTGGTAGCACACTGCCTAAGGCACTGGACTGCTAACCAGAGGGTTGGCGGTTCAAACCCACCAGCAACTTCTCAGAAGGAAGATGGGGCAATCTACTTCCGTAGTTATACTGCCTCGGAAACCCAAGGAGGGGTCGCTATGAGTCGGATCCGACTCGATGGCACATAACAACAACAACAACTCTACACTGTACCTATCCCACTCCTTGTCTGCACCCCTTGAAAGTCTCAAAGCCAGACTATCTAGCCAAGCCCCTCTAAAAAGCCAAACCCACATAAATTCTGAGAGATAAATATAAAATGATTGTTTCAATAACTTTGGGATTTTTTTAGGCAGCAACAGTAACAGATCTACTGGTAGTGGGGGAGAGCTACAATAAAAACCTAAACAAAGGCAGTGACCAGAATATGGAAGGGCCTTCAGGAGACTGCTACCGAAACCCAGAAGGCTCATGAAAAGAATGTTAGTGGAAGCCTAAGGGGCTATGAGTCGGGGCCGACTCGATGGCAAACAACAACAACAACAACAAAGGGGCTTTTAGGCAGCTGTTGGTGAAAGCTTAAAGGAAAATGAGAAAGATATTTTTGGAAGAAAAAAGACCATTTTTCTGATACTAAATTTAATAAAACTGGTACCAGCATTATCGTGGACTACAGAAACTGTACCTGATCAACTTGATCATCTACACAAGATTTCCAGCTAGTAATGAAGGTATACCTGACTTCCCACAGCAAAACAGAGAGGAGAAAGGTGATTTTAAAAATACACTATTTACTTTAGAGTAGAATTTGGAGGAACTTTAAAATGCCTGCCAAGAATTCTCTGAAGAAATGGCTTCCAAGCACAAATCAAATCCTGGGTGGGCTTTAAGAACCTTTGTTAAGAACTCAGAAAAAATCTAAGGTAGTGTCTCTCAGACAGACAAAAGCCTTTCCTCCAGATCTTAAGGACATGTCTCACAGAAACCCTACTGCTTGAAGGCAGGATCTAAGAATAAAGATTGTTAAGGGTGTTCTCCTATAGCAACATCCCACTAAGAGACCCTAGATAGATAGATAAGGGCATATCTCAAAGAGATCTGTAGATATGGCTGTGGTCTAATGGAGTATAAAGTTTTAAAATACAGGAAATCCACATCACTTTTTAAAGATTTATATTAGTTTGCACTTCAAGTGTCAGAGAGAGTACAGAATGAAAAGACCCCTCTGGACCAGGGTTTAGTAAACCAGGGCCTGCAAACCAAATCTAGTCTGCTACTTGTTTTTGTAAATACAGTACTATTGTCACACAGTGATGCCCATTCATGCACACACTGTCTATGGCTGCTTTTACACTGTAACAGCAAACTGGACACCATATGGTTCACAAAGCCTAAAATATTTACTATGTGGCCCTTTAAAGAAAAAGTCTAATGATTTCTGCTTTATACACCCAACCTTTTATGGGCAGGAAATAGGCTAAGGTTGTTATTGTTGTTGTTACATGCCATCGAGACAGACCCAACTCATAGCGACCCCTCCTTGGGTTTCTGGGGCAGTATCACTATGGAAGTAGATTGCCCAGTCTTCCTTCTGAGGAGTGGCTGGTGGGTTTGAACCTCCAGCCTTCTGGTTAGCAGTCAAATGCCTTAGGCACTATGCTACCAGAGCTCTCAATTGTAAACACAGATCACTCCTTAAAGAAAAGGAAGGATGATGACTCAGAAGGCAGAGCCTAGAGTCTCAGAGAATTTCCAAAGTAAGGACTAAGCCCTAATTAAGACACTGTCAGTATGAACCTGGATGGATTTCATAACTGTTATGGACCAATGACTGCTGGGTACCCCTCATTTTCTCTTTCTGAACAAGTCTAAAGCTATTATCCTATGCTTGTTCAGCTGCACTTTGTGTTGAGTGTATGGATGATAGATACCCATCTCTTTAAGTCACAGGTTTTCCAACTAGTACTTAAGTAACATACCTGAGTGACTGACTATACCCACAAAACTACTCCTGAAGAGTCTCATCCACAACTGGACCAGATTTAAATTACAAAATCCTGGACTGTAAGTCAATCCCATAGAGGTCTTTCAGGTATAGAAGTAAAGTGTATCTTTCAAAGGGAGGAATATGAATTGCTCAGATTAAAGGGCTGACTGCAGCAAACTGTACTTTGCAAAAATGCCTGAGACACTATCTTCCTTCTCATTTCTCATTTCCAACAGGACCTTAACCATTCTTCCACCAAGAAGTAGGGACCATGTGTTCTTTCTAGAATATAGCAAGGCTTCTCACTTGCTTATGACTAAAAAAGAATGAGGTGGAAATGATGTTGCATGACTTCCATAGCTAAGTCAGAAAAGGCAATGTAGCTTCCACCATGTAAGCAGTCCAATTATCCTAAGTCTGCCACTAGTCTATGCAAAGAGACTACATATATGTATGGAGAAATCCTGAAACTACATGAAGTGATAATGATAACAGGTCAATCCTCCTCTCCAGCTGCTTCACCTCCCCACTTTTCCCCACTCTTTCAGCTCTAGCCTCCATCTGACTACAAACACAATAAAAGTTCCCAAGGTAGAACTGCTTAGTTAAGCCTTTCTTAAATTCCTGATCCTGAGAAAAACAATATATTAAAAGAAATAATAAAATGACTGTTGCATGTTTTAAGCCACTACATTTGAGATGATTTGTTATAAAGTCACATTTAGTCTGAATAATTTTTGAACTTTGGCTATTCGCTCATTTTATTTCATTTACTAAGCCCCCTTTCTCTATGTAAGGTACTGTGATAAATTTAAGCAGTTTTATTTTTTTTGACCCAGTTTTCACTTTTCTGCCCTAACTTGCAACAACTTTATTAGTATCACAAAAACATGCACTGTCATCATTAGTAAATTTACATCTGCTTTCTAGTCGTAAAAACTTACCATCCACAAGACAGCATTTTGCAGATCATTCCAGAAAAATTTTAAAACAATTTTGACATATTTTAGCTCTTTTTCCAGTAAGTATTTCTTTACCTATTCTATAGTTGTTCACTTCAACATATCTCACATATTTCAATATTTAACATACAGAGAAAGCTAGGAACATCATGAACAACTGAAAATCTCTACAAGTAACTGAGATCCTGATACACTATAACTGGCAGATACCTCACTTTTATTTTTTGAGCAGTTGATGGAAGTTCTGGAATCAGCATCTTCTTTATACATAAATACTCAACTCCTGAACTCTCCAATCAAAGGCTCCACTGTAATGCCAATGTAGTTAAAACAAAAATTACATGTTTTACAGTACATTTCACTGTGATCATGTGGTAAAGACAATAAGAGAGCATTAATTAAGTTCAGGGGGTTTCACAAAAATAGAAAAAGAAAGAAAGAAGAATGGCTAAAACAACTAATAAGAAAATAGAAACTTTTCTATTTGTTTCTTAAAAAATCTATGCCAATTCCCAACCTGGAAAATTAGTCAAAAACTGTAATTATCGTATTATAAGCTGAATGGGCAGCTGATATATATGGGTATTTAACTGTCTAGAAGCATCCTGTTTTTTCATATAAAACTGTACCATCCACTTAAAGCAAAAACATTTTACCTTTAATCTCCTAAAAAACTCACCCCTAGGTTTTTAAGGGGGAGAGGAAAAAGGCTTAATTTCAGCTTATAATAACAATGACAACCTTGATGTTGAACATTTCCATATTACGCGATTTTGGAAAATCAATAGCCTAATACAATGAGATACACAGTCTCTCCAAATATCCCCAATCTTAAGAAATGTCCTGACATCCTGATTGTGATTGTGATTTACTAGGTTAGTAATTCTAAAGGTTAAGCTCATGCTAGCGACTTTTTGTCTCTCTAGTAAGCTTTCATCACCTTACCAATACAGAGTGTATTTACTGCTATTCTTCTTACCACGGTTTCTGACCTGTCAACCTGAGTGCAAGATCGTGCAATAATGCAGGTACTGTATGTCTGACACCCTTCCAATAATGAAGCAATAGGTTGTTGGAATAAAACTTAAGATTGGGCTGCCTGAATACTTGGTTTAAAGGATTCATCTTGAAGGATTGATTTATATAATTTCCTGTAGGAAAAATAAGCATCAAAGCATTTTGAATGTTAATTGTTATACAGGAAAACAAATTAAAATTAGACCTAGAACTGAAGACATGACAATAATTCATCATCCAAACTTTAGAACAAATTAGAGTGAATTATAAGACTACCTTTTCTTTTCTGACAAAATCTTAAATTCAAGCGTCTTCTCATCACAAAAGGCCATAAAGCCTTATTATAAACATAAACAAATACAATGTTAATATGCATTTTAGTGTAAGCATGGGTTGTTTAACAGTCAGAGGAACAGAAAAGACAGAGCTAGTCACCATTACCTTGGGCTTCTTCCAGTCATCCTGAGGTAGATATCATACAGGAATGCTGGGGCCTTATGGCTTACAGCAATCCAGTAATGATATAAAAGGTGATTGGAGGTTAGATTTACATTGGGCCGTCTGAAGGCCTGTTCGAGAGGATTCCTCTTGAAAGTGGAAATTACATGGTATTCTGAGGAAGAAAAGTTGTGTAACAGCTTTGATAATAACCATGTAATGAAGTTTTGGGGAAAAAAATCATGTTTTATAATATAAAATATTTTATCAAAGATGTCAGAGTTCCCTCATTTACCAACAAAAAAAACAAAGAAAAGAAAAAGAACTTTTCTACCCTCTATAGTAGCTAAGAGATTATGGACATTAGACTGCTGAACTCAAGTGGTTTTAGAACTACCACTATTTATGAATTTAAATAGAAATGCCCTGAGTAGTTGGTGGATTTTTTGCTAAAATTCACTCTTGAAATCCTTTTGATGTTTTACTTATGCCAGTTTACAATGTCATTTTCTATATTTCACCTCTCACGATAGCTTCTTTCTTTCTGTTCCTCTTTCCAGATTCTTATTACTGTACTTACTTAAAAAAGAAAAGCAAGATCAACATCCTTTGCTTATGAATGATTAAGTTGTTCAAATTAACATATACCAACAACTTTAAAACAACTCAAAATTAACTTCTGCAGCAACTTATTTAGGTTATGCAATGTCAACCCTTAATCAAACCTAATATATCATCCATGTTAATACTGTGCAACAAAAATGTATATTGACATATTAACTAAAATATATGCTCAACTTGATTTTTACTCAACTTTACAATAAATTAAAGGTTACAAAAATACCTATCTTATTTAAAGTGCCTCAAGTATTTTTTTTTTAAAAAGTACTGTTTTAAATCATTACCATAAAATTAGAATCACCCTAGCTTTCAATTTTTGCTTATATGTTCTAAAGGTCAATTTTTAAATTGAAATAAAAAATGCTATTAAAAACTCCTAAGACAGAATGACATAACAACATAAACATAACTCCATTTCAGTAGGCTTAAAGTTACCCTATTCCTACTTCAGAACTATAGCATATCATATCATAGTCATGTAAACTGGTGAATTTAAATAAAATTAATAAAATAGGAAATATTCTTGTATGATGTATCCTACTTCCTAACTCATTCATTTATTATCACTCAGGTCTACTTGCTATCTTCTGTGATATACTGTATTAGCTAGAAATGATTGCCTGTCAGATAACATCAGGACTGAGGGTGCCCATAAGGGAGGAAAAAAGCACCACTTTCATGCCATAGATATTGACAAGTGTTGCTAAAGATATCAGCAGAGAACATACAAGGATAAAAAACAGGGTGGGATGCAAATATATAGCAGGACATTTTAAATTTGTGAAACACAACTAAGACCATAAAGCAGTACTGATAGATACTACTTCTAAGATGATGATTAAAGTAAGAACAAACTGGTAACTCAATGGCCTTAACGCCTCATGGGTTATTCTAACATATAAACATATAAACTCAGTAAACATTTTAAGTTCTTTAAGATGTACTCTAGTAGTAGAAACACAGGTACAATCATACCAATTTCACCCCAGTGGAAAGGATTAGTGCTGCCTGTTGTGCAATTATACACCATGATGTTCCTGGGTCTGCAAAGACAAAGATCAAAGTAATGAAACATGTAAGAGGACAAACTTATCCACTTTAAATATTATACAATACTCAAGGAGGAAGAAATGAGGATGATGGACCTTTTCTATACTTATCATTTTTAAAATTATCCTCAGAGGATTAATTTTTATGCCTGAATGATTATAATTCCCTTTCTCCCTCTTCTACCAAAAAAGTTATTTATAGAAAAATAAATTCTACCTTCCCAACCCCACATTTCTCTTCTGTGCATTAGCAGGAGAAGAGTACCTGGTTTTAAATGTAAGTAAAATAACAACACAGCAAATGATTTCAGGTCTTCGTATGTTTTCCATTTCAGAAGCACTAGTTTAAAAAGGAGCTCTGGTAGTGTAGCACCCAAGGCACTTGACTGCTAACCAGAAGGCTGGCGGTACAAACCCACCAGCCACACCTCGGAAGGAAGGTTGGGCAATCTACTTCCATAGTGATACCACCCCAGAAGCCCAAGGATGGGTTGCTATGAGTCAGGTCTGACTTGATGGCACATAACAACAACAACAACAGTTAAAAAAAAAAAAAAATAGGACTGCGTTCTCTTTTGTTAGAAACAATTTATATAATCAAATCTCTCTTTTAGGATAAAATTGACTTTAAAAATAAGGGAAGTTTATTAATTAGAGAAGAACAAAAAGCTGTTGGGAAATTTAGCATCACCTTTAACACTACTACTTCATTTTAAATGATAGATGCCCAGAGTTGGTTAAAACAGCTCTAGTATGCCATGTTTGATATACGTAAACTATTCTCTGTGAATTTCAGTCTTTATATAAGCCAAGTTTACACCAACTTTTATAGTATGTATAAAACACAATCTTTAGGAAGAGGAGATTTGTTTTTCTTTTTTTAATCTCTAACAAATCTGTCCATCCTGTAGGTAGTACATGACTATTAATGTTAATTCGTAACTACTCCTGACAAGACCACTTGCTACCTAACCTGTGATACACCACCTCTCGTAGTTAGAAGTGATACTGCCTATATATATGTATATATTTGTATGGCAATATCAAGACTGAGGGATTAATTAACATTAGTCAGTAGCTCTATTTTCCCTTCTCAGTTACTATAGATTTAACAAGCGACATTGTCACCTCATATACCTATTAACTCCGGAATACCAGGCTGCCGCAAGACTCGTGTTGACAACTACATCTACAGGAACAAGATCTGCAAGGGCATTGTTGGAGGCACGCATTGTTCGAAGGATTCCTTTCCCTGCCTTTGTTGAAATTAAAAACAACACTTTAAGATATATAAGCCAGAGTATGTATATATACATATATGTACACATATATAAAGATATACAGAAAACAGAAAAATATATAGAACATTTAATAAATAAAAAGGTTTACTTACCGCAATAAAGAGACCACTTGGTCCATTAAAGTTATCAATCCATCCCTAATACCAAAAATTAAAAAAAAAAAAAAAAGGGGGGGAAGGAGGCTTAGAAACATTACTGAACTAGGAATTTATTATATGAAATTTATAATCCCAAATTTATACTCAGTAGTTCTTTTTTAAAAAACTAAAAAGTAGACTAGATTCAGGCCAAACTTTTCTCCCGGTCCCAAATAAGGTCAGTCTTCTGAGATCTCAAATAACTAAGTAAAAAGTTTCAAGGGATTACCCACTCTTCCATTAACTCTCTGCAAAGAGAATTTAAATATAAGTTTATATCTCTCAAATACTTTTGCTAAATTAAGCCAGCACATATTTGATTTTTTGCTATTTACTAATGCAGCATCCTAAGATTAAAGGGAAATGGTATATCCTCCTCCAAATTACTGCATAAGACAAAGGAATATAAAAATCAAATATTTAAAGCAATATTCAATACAGAAATCAAATAATCAAAACAACTAAGGAGATATTATCACTTAGTATCATTAGAGAGACCTGGGTTTTTCCTAAATCAATTTACTTGATTTCTCTTATTCCAGGGATTCACAAATATCATATGCAAGTTATCATGTCCAAGATATCATAGCAATCTCTTCACACCTTTCTTAGCTTGTGACCTACACAGGGAGAGTCTACCTCTTTGAGAGACTTCCTCTTTTAGTGCTTTAGCAAATGAAGTAAAATAAAACCCTGAATATTATCATCTCTGTTCCCTTCACATATGGAAGGGATATTAATCAGCAAATAATCTTAAAGGCCAACAAATGCTGACATGTCAGTCCAATTTCCTGTTAATTACAAAACTCATAAGGCATGGTGTCTCTTTTGAATCAAGACAATTTCAAACTTTTAATTTTTAATTAAGGTTTTTTTTTTTAAAAAATTGATACACATTTGTAGACACCCACCATTAGACACAAAAGTACCAATACCTCTTCCTAAGAATAAAGGGAAAACAGTTTTACCACTGTGCACCATGTTCAGTAAATAATAATTCTCTTAAACAATTGCAAACTCTTTTTACACAGAGTTATGACTTAAAATTTAAAAATCCAATCATTCACAAATGATTTCCAAACAACTTACTGGAAAAGGTTCTTTCCAACTGGCACCAACAATCGATGGCCTTACAATTGCCACATTTAGTTTTGCTCCTTCTTGCTGTACAACATATTCTGCCAATGCTTTTGTGTATATGTATGTATTGGGTCTGTCTCCTATCAACTTTGGGGTAATATCATTTACAAGGCTATCATCCATCCACCTGTAAAGAAAGAAATTGCATACAAAAATATTTCCAAATGTTTTACTATAAACTGAAAAACCATTTAATTGCACTTTGTATAGTCAAAATATATAGTGCTTTGACTCAAATGACTTGACAAATTTTACTAAAAATATACAAGTTACTCTTACTTTCATTAAGCATCAACTACAGGTCTACAAGCCCTTTACTTCAATTACTATATCCAAAAAGCTCTGAAAATTGAGAGTTCCTTCATAAATTACATGATAGGCAGCAAAACCTGAACTGAACCAATTTCTAGTATTCACACATTTCAGATATATTTGATCAGGGATGCTACTTCAGAGCTAGCTGAGATTATTTCATACTACACTTACATATATTAAATTTCCTATCTAAGATGCAAATGAATTCCAAAATAGCTAAGGGTTTCAGACTAGGAATTATAGACCTGTATATAATCACCAAAAAGAGTAACATGCTAATTATATACATTTGCAATCAGCATATATTTATAATTAATATAAAAGGCTCAGTAAGCTAAATATTAAGGAGCTCTGGCGGTGCAGTGCCTAAGGCATGAGACTCCTAACCAAAAGGCTGGTGATTCAAATCCACCAGTCACTCTGTGGAACAAAGATGCAGCAATCTACCTCAGTAAAGATTTACTGCCTTGGAAATCCAATGAGGGTTGCTATGAGTAGGAATCGACTCCATGGCAGTAGACTTTTTTTTTTTTTTTTTTTTAAATCTAAATATTTAAAGTAAAGCACTGAAAACTATATGCTTACACTAGTGAGATTGGCAAATACTATGGTAAACAATAAAAATAAACTGAGTCATACTATAAAAATTCAATTAGCAACTACTATAAAGTTACAAAACTTCCACTCTGCTTATTTGCAAAAGGAGTGATATACTAGTTGATATCTATGCTATTTACCAGTCTAAATTTTCTGAGTCCAGTATATTATATACTTGTTTTCAGCTACACTTATTGTTGCTGTTGTTATGTGCCATTGAGTCGGACCTGACTCACAGCGACCCCTCCTTGGGTCTCTGAGGCAGTATCACTGCAAAGTAGATTGCCCCATCTTCCTTCCGAGGAGTGGCTGGTGGGTTTGAACCGCCAGCTTTCTGGTTAGCAGTCAAGTGCCTTAGGCACTAAGCAACTAGAAGCTCCTCTACCTTTCCTTATTGTGTAAAATGGTATACATACAAGTAGACTCATTATACTGATACTCTAATGATACCCACACTAACTAATGAGAAAGCATAAAACAGAGATTACCAAGATAAATTATCATTCTCCAACATGTATATGAAAGCACCTTTTGGGTGTGTGGAAAGGAAAAAATACTAAACTGAAGGGATGATGCTACCTAACTTAGGAAATATTCCATAGTAGAGAGTCTTAAAAAAAGGAAAGAATAGGTAATTAGTTAATGAATGAATGAATGAATGAATGCCTAAACAGACGGACTTTAGCCAGTAAGCTAAAGTAAGGGAGGTTAGAAAGCCAATCTGTGAGCCATCCTGAAATTAATCATTAGCTAGATTTGAAAGCAAGGAAAGGAGAAACAGAATCAGGTTATAAGCATTTTTCTTAGCTCATTAGATGTTTAGATATATCAAATGGTAATTTAAAAAAAAAGTAAAATACTTGGTTAATTTTCACACTCAACTTTTCCCAGAGATACTAAGTGCTTTAGTCTACTGACTTATCAGGAAAATGACAGCTGAAACTAAAATCAGATTACCCATTTACTTCATGTCAAGTAGAAGGACTGTCCAAGAATGATTTGATTTGCATTTTCTTATGAGAAGCAACAAACTTATATGCCAGGAATAAAGAAAATGATACCTACAGAGTGAGAAGGGGAGATACTTGGAAGAGGCTAAGAAATGGAGTCAGGAAACAGAAACCTGAGAATACTTAAGAACGCCTCTGTAAACTTCCTTACGATATGCTTGTTTCCTCACAGTGAAAGTCTTAAAGAAAAGGATTTGTAGGCTTATTGCAGGAGAGAGTTAGAAGCAGCAGCTATGGACACTATGTAGCACCCTTGGGAAGAAGAGAAATCAAGTAGGAAAGCAGGGGATGGTAACTAAGGAACTGAAAGTGGAATCTCTAAGAAGAAAAGTGAATAGGGGAGACAGAAAAATAGACAAGGAAAAAGCCTACCAGGGTATTACAGGAAGACTAACAAATATGTAATGTTTCTGTAACTGCAGTCTTTAAAACAAAAAGGTTCCCTATTTTCTTCTCCCTCTGATCTTTTCTGTTTGTTTTACTTGATGACAAAGCACAGTCTGAAGCAAATGAGAACTGTGGTTTAAGCATATTCACTTACTCCCCATGCATCAAATACTTCAAACAAATATATTTTTAATATGTAATAATTGTTGACAGAATCTTAGTCCTCAGAAAGATCATAAACAATGATACTAGGAGTATGAAAGGAAATGTCACCTCTAATTCCTTAATACTAAAGTTCATCTAGATAGTCTCCACTGGGCAAAAAACAATCAGAAATAATCCTTTAATAAATTAGAACCTTTCTAATAAACAGGCAGTCATTGGTCTCCATGGGTATCAGACAATTCTTGGTCACTAAGATTGATTTCCTAGAAAACAGAGGCCCCAATATGGATGGAAGCTCAGTATCATCAGTCAAAACAAGGCCAAGAGCTGACTGTGGAACAGATCATCAACTGCTCATATGCAAGTTCAAGTTGAAGATGAAAAAATTTAAAACAAGTCCACAACAGCCAAAATACAACCCTGATTATATTCCACCTGAATTTAGAGACCATCTGAAGAACAGATTTGATAGATACTTCAAACACCAATGACTGAAGATCAGATGAGTTGAGAGATGACATCAAGAATATCATACATGAAGAAAGCAAAAGATCACTAAAAGACACGAAAGGAAGAAAAGACCAAAATGCATGTCAGAAGAGACTCTGAAACTTGCCCTTGAACAGAGTAGCAAAAGCTAATGGAAAAAATGACAAGATAAAAGAGCTGAAGAGAAGATTTCAAAGAGTAGCTCAAGAAGACAAAGTCAATTATCATCATGAAATGTGCAAAGACCTGGAATTAGAAAACCAAAAGGGAAGAAAACACTTAGCAAGCTGAAAGAATGGAAGAAAAAATTCAAGCCTTGAGGTGCAATACTGAAGGATCCTATGGGCAAGATACTGAACGATGCATCAAATCATGATGGAGGGAATAAACAGTGTCACTGTACCAAAAAAACTGGTCGATGTTCAACTATTTCAGGAAGTAGCATCAAGAACTAATGGTATTGAAGAAGTACAAGCTGCACTGAAGGAATGAGCAAAAAACAAGGCTGAAACTGAAATGTTTCAACAACGGATGCAGTGCTGGAGGTACTTACTCATTTATGCCAAGAAACCTAGCCAAGTGATCAGAAGACATCGATAGTAGTGCCCATTCCAAATCAAGGTGATCCAAGACAATGTGGAAATTATCAAACAATATTATTAATAGCACAAGCAAGTAAAATTTTGCTGAAGGTAACTCGAAAACAGTTACAGCAACATATTGACAGGGAACTCTCAGATATTTAAGCTGGATTTCAGAAGAGGATGTGGAATGAGGGATATCACTGCTGATGCCAGATGGATCTTGGCTGAAAGCAAAGAATACCAGAAAGATGTCTACTTGTGTTTTACTGACTATGCAGACATTTAACTCTGTGGGTCATAACAAATTATGGATAACACTGCAAAAAATAGGAATTCCAGAACACTTAATTGTGCTCATAAGGAACCTGTACATAGACCAAGAGGCAGTACTTCGAACAGAACAAGGGGATACTGCATGGTTTAAAAATCAGGAAAGGTGTGTGTCAAGGCTGTATCCTTTCATCACAATTATTCAATCTGTATGGTGAGCAAATAATTTGAGAAGCTGGACTATATGAAGAAGAACGTGGCACCAGGATTGGAGGAGGACTAATTAATAACCTGCAATATGCAGTTGACACAACTTTGCTTGCAGAGAGTGAAGAGGACTTGAAGCACTTACTGGTGAAGATCAGACTACAGTCTTCAGTATGATTATACCTCAACAGGAAATGAAAATCCTCACAATTGGGCCAATAAGCAACATCCTGATAAACGGAGAAATATTGAAGTTGTCAGGGATTTCATTCAACTTGGAACAACACCCATGGGAGCAGTAGTCAAGACATCATATTGCACTGGGCAGATCTACTGCAAAAGACTTTTTTAAAGTGTTAAGGAGTAAAGATGTCACTTTGAAGACTAAGGTGTACCTAACCCAAGCCATGGTATTTTCAATCACCACATATGCATGTGAAAGCTAGACAATGGATAAGGAAGACTGAAGAAGAGTTCATGCCTTTGAATTGTAGCGGTGAGGAACAGTGAAAATATCATGGACTACCAGAAGAATGAACAAATCTGCCTTGGAAGAAGTGCAGCCAGAATCCTTCTTAGAAACAAGAATGGCCAGGCTTCATGTCACCCACTTTGGTCATACTGTCAGAAGGGACCATTCCCTGGAGGAGGGTAACATGCTGGTAAAGCAGACGGTCAGAGAAAAAGAGTAATACTCCCAACAAGATGGACTGACACAATGGTTCCAACAATGGGCTCAAGCATACCAAAGATTGTGAGGGTGCAGGACTGCACAGTTCTGATGTATGTGAAGTCACTGTAAGTCAGAAATGTCTCAATGGCATCTAACAACAACAACATGGATGAGTTGTTCCAAGGTATTCCTCCAGGTTCCCAACCATCACACTTGGTTAAAAGTGAAATCCCCACACTGACTTCAACAACAGTCTTTAGGTATCAATCTGTACAATTTAAAAATTAAAAAGGTGATAATGTTTGTTGAATAAAGGAACAGATTATGTATGTATGTACGTATGTATGTGTATGTGCATGTATGTGTGTATATAAATCGAGGGACACAAAGAGGAAGAGAGAAACTGACATATACCAAGAGATACATATAAATAGATAAACCTAGATCCAAAGTTTTGGGATCAAAGCCACTATAGGTACATTTCAAAGAAACATACTCTAAAGAATCAATCAACTTCTTGGGATCGACAGGGGGTGGATAGACTACTTCATCAATATGCTTTCTATTGCAATACGCATATGCTGTTGATACATGCATAAACACTTCCAGATTCTTCATTTGCTGTGCCAGGAGAATAAGTTGTCGTGTAGCAATCACATTTAACTGAACAGCATCTCTGTAAAAGAAAAAGCAATGAAAAGTTGGGAGGCTGTATCATTTACTTTAACTGCTTAAAAAAAAAACAAAACTTACTTCCATTAGATAGGTAGAGAGACAGATTTTTGTTTCTTTACAACTGAACCCTTAGCTCTAATTTTATGGTTTTTTTTTTTATTTCAGTATAAAGTAAATCCATTCTGTCAGCTATGCTTAAAAAGAAATCTTCTGATTATCAAATAAAACTTCATTGTTAGGTTTGAAAAACGTAAGTACAAACTTAAAAAATTAAAATTCCCCATAGATAACATGGATAATTTAGTTGTATGTAGCTTATATGCATACACCTTGGAGTCATTCTAGACTTGTTGGTTTTTTTTGTTTTTTCAATTTTTAAAGGTATGACCTTTCATGATAATGGATGTGCCACAAGAAGAAATTAAATCACTAAGGCAAAATTAGCAATAAGGTTGAAACGATAATAGTAATGATAAATCCAGAAATAGTAAATTACATGAACATATAATCAAATAAGAATGAAGCAAATAAATCTACCAAACACTTCTTTAAAATTATCTTACAAAATTTAAAGTGTTATTACAATAAAACGAGTACATGGCACAGGTTTTTATTGTACATATTTTTACTACAACAATACCAAAAATACCTAGTACATTTGTAACAAGAAGTATATGAAAGATCCCAAAGTAATCTACATAGTCCCTTCTTAGGATTTATTCAAACTAAATAGGTCTACGAAAGCAAAAATATGTATACATCTAATCAAACATCATCTAATAATAGCAAAAGCCTACAGAGTCCAAATACTCACTACAAATGGCATGGTTTAATAAAGTAGGTATTTTATCACCATGAAATAATACAACCATTAAAATACTTATATAAAGACTATAAAGACATGGGAATTCTATATGGATATTACAATATACACATTGTCTGAAGTAGGCTTAATATGGCTCTGAGAGAGACTGGAGGCTAGAACAGGCAGAAGCCCCTCTCTGTCTCTCCCTTGTAAAGCCCCCTTTCCTCTCCTCCCTCTTTAATAAACTTTGGTTTGTGTGGACAAAAAAAAAAGAATATAGCTCTCAAGTCAGACAGACCTGGCTTCAAATCCTGCCTTGGCCTATTTGCTAAGACTAGATGATCTTGGTAAAGTTATGTAAGCACTCAGGCCCATTTCTTCACCTGTAAGTAGGAATAATATGGAATATACCTACTATAGTTTGTATAAAATTAAATGAAATAAATAGTTTATAAGAATTTAGCATAATTCCTGAGTCCAAAGCAAGCAGTAAACAAACATTAGTTAAGATAATGTGATGATGCTATTAAACTTTTCATAATTTTAATAAACATTCTTAAAGAAGGCTGAAATACTCAATACCAGGAATAAATACCATGATAAAAGTGGTAAAGTAATACACTACTAGTGACACTTATAAACTGATCTGAAGACATCAGGACAGAGTACCAGAAATTACAGAAATCATATAATTATTAATTAATCTCTGGTAGCATAGTGCCTAAGGCACTTGACAGCTCACCAGAAGGCTGGCGGTTCAAACCCACCAGCCACTCCTCGGAAGGAAGGTTGGGCAATCCTACTTCTGTAGTGATACTGCCTCGGAAACCCAAGGAGGGGTCGCTATGAGTCAGGGCTGACTCGACGGCAAAGAACAACAACAACAACAATGTAATATACTGAAATTGAGAGAAAAAAACTTTTAATCCTAATTTTTCAGAAAGAATGAAATGAAAAATTCCTAAATTTGCTAACCTAAATACTATGCAAGTGTGGTATAACAACATGATGGAATATCATCAAATCACTAAAAGTATAACCATGGGGAAAAAAATCAGAAATACAAATGTTGAACGTTCACAATTACGTAAAGCAATATATGCTCCAAGATGGACCAAAAAAAATTTTAATGAAAATCGTTAGTATTTTTCGTATTTCTTATCAGTGGCAGCATTTAAGAAGGAAAAAAATCCAATTATTCTTTTAAAAAGAGTGACACTAATAGTTACGTGCTACTACTAACCAGAAAGTTGGAGGTTCAAACCCACCCAGAGGTGCCTGGGATAGAAGAGCTGATAATCTGATTCTGAAAATCCTACAGAGTGCAGGTCTACTCTAAACACAGGGGGTCACCATGCGTCAGACTCAACCCACTATCAGCTGGCTTTAGTCTTTAAAAAGGCCAGGACGTATCACAGATATCCTGTCCACTTGATTGTAAAGTAATGCTTTGATATCTATCACATTTGAAAAACAATGGCATTAAGGAAGGTACTGTTTTGGAAGAGGTATATCAACAATATTCTGTTACAGGTTCCTGAGGACAGGACATAGAGTTCTGGGTCACCAGGAACAAGGAATAATCCTTAAGAGAAAAAAAAAAAAAAAAGGTCCCTTGGTTTTTCAATTAATAGTATGAGAACCTATGAAAACTTACTAAAAGCAAAAAATTTTAATGAAATAATTAGGTTGAGGTATTACAATGATGGATGATATCCTTATCTTTGTTTCAATTGGGGTGGGGGGTGGGGTCTGTTCAAATGAAAATCCATCAAGATACTTCACAGAGAGGATACTGTCCACCAGACCGTAAGAAAATGTGATACATTCTTTTGCAAGAATGGGGTGAAAACGGGTAATGTTTTGTGAAAATCACACAAAGGGTATTCTGTTACAGGTTCCCAAGGATGGTGACAGAGTTTCTGGGTCACTGGAAATAAGGAATAATTTGAGAGGAAATACCCCTGTGTCCTGCTACCCTCCTCACCACCCCCACTGGTACCTGAGAGCTCGACCTTGAAGCTATTTTGTGCTCACACAGGTATCCAGGCTGGTCAGCTTCACTCTATTTTACCTCAATTTCTATTCTGTTGAACTCCAGGCTGAGACCCAGTCATGTCAGCTCAGAAAGCACACAGTATTAAAGAAAAATACTGTTCTCATTATGTGTTGGCTATATAGAGTCATAAGTGCATCTTAAATTAAGATTGGCTTTGGGGAAGGGGGAATCCTTTGCCACAGACTTGATTCCAATTCATGGCAACCCATGTGTTACAAAGCACAACTGGGCACCACAGGATTTTCTTGGTAATCTATGGAAACAGATTGCCAGGCTCTTCTTACATGGTACCATTGGGTGGGTTCAAACCTCCCACCTCTTAGCTGGTATCCAAGTGCAAACTAGTGAGTCACCAGAGACTTTGGCTTGGGGGCAGGGAAGCAAAATGAGCTTCACTGGCATTACCCCAAAACTTGTTGTTGGTGGTGTGTGCTGTTGAGTGGGCCCTGACTCACAGCGACCCCTCCTTGGGTTGCTGAGGCAGTATCACTACGGAAGTAGATTGCCCCATCTTCCTTCCGAGGAGTGGCTGGTGGGTTTGAACCGCCAGCCTTCTGGTTAGCATCAAGTGCCTTAGGCACTATGCTACCAGACCTCAGATTTTGGCAAGTGCAGCTCAGGAAATCTGTCTTTTAAACACTTTTTCCAGTAATTCTTAAGATTTAAAATACATTCTAAGATTTGGGAATTGGTATGTTTAGACTCAACAGGTTTTTTTTTTTTTTATCTTTTCCAATTATCAATCATTACTTCCATTCCTTTCTTAAAACATAGTCACATGAGTTGAACATTCACCAGAGGTAGATACATTCTTTGGAGAGAACAATCACGGGAGAAAGAAGGGCTGTTTATGTACAGGGAGACAGCTCAGGGGGCAGGAGTGCATGGAGGGATGGACACAGGGAAGAGGTAACTATGGGGAGGAAGTGGGAGGGGAGCTGATGCATTGGGGTAAATTGTAGTCAATGTCATGAGACAAAGTGTATCTGAACTGCTGTATGGAAAGTGAATTTGCTCTGTAAATTTTCACCCAAATCACAATAAAAAATATAAAATAAATAAATAAAATTGCTTAGTAAAAATAAAAAAAAGAACATAGTCACATTCATACTCTCAGCCTTACCACCCATAAATACTCCATCTCTGACATCCTGTACTATGAATTTCCACCAAACTATACCACATGTCCTTCCAATTCTCCATCCTCATCATGGTCTCCAGTTTTCTTTATTCTCAATTCTTACTGGTCCTGTCCTGCCTTTACTATTGTTACTACCTAACGCAGACCAGACCTCACAATCAAGTATTTAAATAACTCCCTTTATTAGCCTCTGCAAAAAGGGCGTGGCTGTAGTGTTTGACCTCTTCTAACTTCACAGAGCAAGGATATACTGCACGGTTTATCACAGGAAAGGAGTGTGTCAGGGTTGTATCCTTTCACCATACTTATTCAATCTGTAGGCTAAGCAAATAATCCAAGAAGCTGGACTGTATGAAGAAGAATATGGCATCAGGATTGGAAGAAGACTCATTAACAACCTGTGATAAGCATATGACACAACCTTCTTGCTGAAAGTGAGGATGACTTGAAGCACTTACTGATGAAGATTAAAGACTACGCCTGCAGTATGGATTACACCTCGACATAAAGAAAATGAAAATCCTCACAACTGGACCAATAAGCAGCATCATGATAAATAGAGAAAAGGTTCAAGTTGTCAAAGATTCCATATTACTTGGATCCATAACCGACACCAAATAGAAGCAACAGTCAAGAAATCAGATGATGTATTTCACGGGGCTAATTTGCTGCAAAAAGACCTCTTTAAAGTGCTAAAGAACAAAAATGTCTCTTTGAAGACTAAGGTGTGCCTAACCCAAGCCAAGGTATTTTCAACCACTTCATATGTATGTGAAAGCTGGACAGTGAATAAGGAAGACTGAAGAAGAGTTGATGCTTTTGACTTGTGTTGATGAAGAATATTCAAAGTACCAAGGACTGCCAGAAGAATGAACAAATCTGTCCTGGTAGAAGTACAGCTAGGAATGCTCCTTGGAAGCAAGAACGGCCAGACTCTGTTTCACCTACTTTGGTCATGTTGTCAGAAGGGACTATTCCCTAGAGAAGGATGGTAAAGTGGAGAGTCAGCGATAAAGGGGAAGGCCCTCAATGAGATGGAATGACACAGTGGCTGCAGCAATGGGCTCAGGTATAGCAAGGACTGTGAGGCTGGTGCAGGATCGAGCAGTTATTCTGTATACATGGGAGCAGGTCACTATGAGTTGGAGCCAACTCAACAGCACTCAACAACTATAACAACAATTTCACAAGGGGGAAATAAAATCAAGATGAACATCAACAGCCCAAGGCTGGTTCCTATGACACATAAGTCAGACATGCTGCCACCTTCCAACCTTTTCACCAATTCTGACATGAACCGTCCCTCCCACAGCACTCTCTATGTCTGCTGCATTCGATAATTTGTTGCAATGGTCACACAGAATTCAGAGACAATACTCATGGTTATGGTTTATCAAGGAAATAACAGGTTACAATACAGGTTCAGGAATGCTCAGGTTAGCAAGCCTTCTGCCCGAAGGCACTCAGCTTTCTTATTCCACAGGCTGGAAAGCTCACTACTCTGTCTCATGCCAGTCTCTTGGTTGTGCTGTCTCTGCTGCTGGAGGATCTCCTGCCAGTCTCTCTGCCAGCGTCTCAGTGCAGGAATCTTGAGTCCAAGGATGCACTCCACTACTGGCTGTTCTTTATTGTTGGCAGTGAGATCTCCCTTTTCTGCCTCTTAGATGGCTCATTTTAAAACTAATGGAATGGCAAAACCGGCCAATCGGTATTTTAGGTTCCATACACATTATTTGCATGGTCCCACACACACAAAGGTGCCATGTACCTTATTTACATTATTAACAAACTATCCAAATCCCACCAGGAGCTTTGGTGGTGTAGTGCTTAAGGCATTTGACTGCTAACCGGAAGGCTGGAGGTTCAAACCCACCAGCCACTCCTTGGAAGGAAGATTGGGCAATCTACTTCCATAGTGATACCACCTCAGTAACCTGAGGAGGGGTCGCTGTAAGTCAGGTCTGACTCAATGGCACATAACGACAATGACAAATGTTAGCATTATATAAAACAATGAGCAAGAAAATAATCTTGAAACCTATAAAGCACTACAGTAAAATGTAAGGGACTATTACAGTGCCCTCAATGGACTACTGTCAAAATTTATTTTAATGCTTTGGCTGTGAACTGTCAACTTTTTTAACTGATTTAAGGTTTATAGTTCTGCATTACATAATGGTAACATGGGAAATAATCTCAAAACCCTTTGTAATATGTAATCAGAACTTAAATTTAAAACATTTTAAAGTGAAGTCTTTCAAGTAGTGTTGAAAGATGAAAATGTCTACACCATCTACTTTGGGTCTCTAGTGCTGCTTCTAACAGAAATACCACAAATGGGTGGCTTTAACAAACAGAGATTTATTCTCTTACAGTTTAGGAGGCTAGAAGTCCAAATTCAGAGTGCCAGCTCTAGGGGCTGGGTGAAGGCCCCTCAACCTTGACCTTCAGCTCTGCCTCTTGCTCCTGGCCCACTGGAGCCAGAGGCTTCTTGTAACTTATGCAGCTGCTGGCTACTGAGGCTGACAAACCCAAGGTTAGCAATGAGAATGGCCCAATCCTAAGAAAAGCAGACAACAGGCATATGCCAGGTCACTGGTTCAAGTCTAGGAACAATTTCAAAATCAACATGCAACATGGCAGGCGACTGGATGAAGACTTGGCCAAATGCAGGATCCAAACGTGACAAAAAGCTAGAGACCTTTCCTAAAGCTTCTACTGGAAGCAGGCCACACCTGAAAGGCAGCTCTCTACCTGCTCACAGCAGATTCCACCATGAAGGTAATTACACTCTCATCATGGGGAATAATTACATCCAGCTGCCCAGATACTCAAAACCACAGCCCAGCCAAGTTGATACACACTTTAATTACCACACCATCTTAACTGGCACAAGACCATACAATTACATCAATATTATAAAAACTAATTTTGAACATATCATTAAAAAGAATATTCTGAATTAAAGCATCATTGCTTAAAATGCATACTTGTAGATTTTTAAAAGTAGAACATTTAAAGTGTTATTTTTTTCTTGAAATGGGCATTGTTCTGGTTAGGTAGTGCTGCTCTGACAGGAATATACCACAAATGGGATGGCCTTAACAAACAGGAGTTTATTCTCTTACAGTTTGGAGGCTTTAAGCCCAAGTTCAAAGCTGAAAGGGGCTGGGTAAAAGCCCCTTAGCCTTGGGCTTCAGCTCTGCCGCCAGCTCCCAGCCCACTGAAGCTAGAGGATTTTGTTCACTCAGATAGCTGCTGGCTGCTGAGGCTGCCAAGCCCAAGGTTGACAAGTAACAAGGCACAGTCCTGATACTACCAAATCACACAGCAGGCCATTAATTCAAGTCCATTGTTAAGTCCCAAGATCAGCAGAGCATGGCAGGCTACATGCAGGGTTCAAGGTGCCATAAGCTAGAGACCATTCCTAAAGCTGCCGCTTATACACGGGAAGCAGATCACATATCCAAAGGCAGCTACCCAGCTGCTCACAGTAGATTCCACTATGGAGTTGATTACCAGTCCCATCACGGGGAATACTACATCCAGCTGTCCAGCCACTCACCAGGCCTAGCCAAGTTGACACAAAAACATAACCAGCACAGGCATCTTAAAGGAAGTCAAATTAGTTTTTGAATTAAACTTATGTACAATATACCAATGCTGCTACCAAAGTTTTAAAATAAAAACAAGGTGTAACTTAAATTTATAGGCTGATTTATCTTGTTCTGCAAAACCTGAACCTAATTTTGTTTAATTTTCATATGGATATGATGTACGGAGTATGAAAATAAGCTGCTGGGGTACATACACTTCTGAAAGAATGGGAGGAGAAGGAAATGAACACTAAGAGTTGTTGAGAAATCCTCCTACCACGGTAAACTTCTCTTTCTTCTATTCCATACTTCCCACTTCTTGACTCCTTCTTCCCTATTGCGTTTAAATTCATAACAATCTTCTTCCAATAAACATATACAAGTTATCCAATGTTTTTAAAGCTCATTAAGAGGAGGAAGAAAATTCTCTTAACACCCTATAGGACAGTAAAAGTCACCCTTAATATATGGCAAACCGTCTCAAATCATTTTCAAAGTAACCTGACTAAAAAAGTAGAATTAAAATAAAATCTTTTAAAGTAACTATGTTGAAGTTCAATATAGTATAAATATCTGTACTTACCTTAAATTTTCATTAAACCTTACTGTAGCCGCACAGTGGAATATAATATTGGTAGAATCAATGATAACCTCTTTATCTGCTTCACCAAGAGCCAGTTTGGGTTGAGTGAGTTCACTGTTGATTGCTATAATTTTCTCTCTAAAATCTGGATTTTCATCTCTCAATCTGTCAAAGAGCTGTCAAAAGGGAAAAAAATATTTATTTTAGGTCTGTATTTTTCAACTTTCGAAAACCATTATCATCTCTCTCTCTCTCCACTAAGAATCCTATTTTAAAAACTTAAACTATGCAATTCCCAAATACGCTATTCTTAATTTCTATTATTCTGTACAGGACACACTCAATGAGGCCTATACTATTATTCCCATTTTATATATGAGGAATCTGAGGTACAGAGAGATTAAGCAACTTCACAAAGACACAGAGCTACGAAGCTGAATTTAAACCGTGCACACCTTTGTTGATTAGACTTACCTCTCAAAATAGACTTAAGCAATATAAACATCAGGAAAATGTTTAAAATGATCAGATTTTTAAAATCCAGACCTTACTTTACCACTTCATTTTATTTTGGTTTTATTCTCTTTCAGTAGATGAAACACTATAATTCAGAGTCTACTTAAAATCTTGATTTTTTTTTTTAGAAGTATGTTACAGAAAAAATAAAACTGGTAAACAAATATGCAGATTAGAAACTGGACAAACTAATCTGAAAATTCAACATTCCTTAAATACACCCAAAAGAAAAAATTTAACTAGAGGATCAATTGGATCATGAGATGATAGATACGCACATTCAATTATTGGGTCCAACTTAATTTTGTATCCCAGAATTTACAGAGCAATACTGATGCTACCTCCAAGTCACTATCCTATCATGCTTTGAGTCTTCACTTACAGTTCAAAATTGCAGTTTAACCAAGGATTCTTAACCTGGGAAGAAAGTCTACATAACATATTCATGTGCTCACTTACACTTTCCTAGATGACTTTAGTATCTAACAGTCTTTCCCTACACCATGGACAACTAGGGACTCTAATACTGCTGTATTACTAAGTATTTCATACCGGCCAGTTAACCTTCCAGGCCCTGAAAAAAAACGAGGAAATGGTCTTTGCTTTTATATTAGTTAGAACACAAAAGGAAACAAGACAAGTAAAAGGACAATTAAAATATAGTGCTGTTAAGTAATAAATTACAGATAACATTACAGTGTTATGAGACCACACAGGAGAAACAACTAACACAGCTTGGCATGACTAGACGTGGCTTTTCAAAGTAACTGACATTTTAGCTGCGATCTAAATGGCAAATAAGGTGTGTGTATGCATGTGTGTGGGTGTATGCACATGTTGGTAGTGGTAGTAGAAAGGACCTGAGAGAAGAAAGTAGAAAAGCATTCCAGTGGAGAATCCATTATACATAACTGTCTAGAATTGCAAGGGTATAATATGTTTGGGGAATTAAAAGTAGTTCAGTAAGCCTGGAACACAGAGTAGAATGGGCAAAGCGGCCAGAGTTCTACAGAGGTAAACAGAGCCAGATAATTGTGTCTTACAAACTCTATGAAATAGATTAATTTTATCTGTGAGCAATAGTGAGCTATTGATGGATTTTAAGCAGGGAAGTGATGTAAACATGTTTATAATACAAACAGTGGTTTGGTTGCAATGAGTTTTAGGATGCTTTTGTATCCTAAACCCCTATTAAGAAAAATCATTGTCTGATACAAAGTAACAGCAATAAGGATGAAAAGACACACACAACCCAGAGATGCTTAGGAAGTAATGTCAACAGGACTTGGCCAATGACTAGATTTAAAGGACAAGGTATAGAAACTCCATGAGGAGAAGAATTGTATCTATTTTGCTCAGTATATAGGCCCAAGGTAGCATAGTGCCTGGCAAGATGTAGGTGTGACAAATATCTGTTAAGTGAATAAATTCATCAGATTGAAAATACTGTAAGAGCAAGAAGTGCAGTTTTGGAGATACAAGGTCAGTTTTATAAAGGCTGAGTTTACAGTGCCTATGTGAAACCCCAAAAAACAGGTATACTACAGGTGACTGGTTCTGTGGGTCTGCAAGTTAGGGAAGAAAGCAAGCCAACTGATACAGATTTTACTAACTACACATGGTTAGTAACTAAAGCCATAGGCAGGTAGCAGCAGTGATGAAAGCCCAAGGTCTAGAGTGTATGCAGTTCCTCCCTCTTCAAATCTATTTAAATACAGCCATTCATCTCACACAAAACAGAAAGTGCTGAGTAACTATCTAAATTAGACCTTGTGAGAAGAAATAAAGGCCTAGAATAGAAATTGAAGAGTATCAATATTAAGGGACAAGCAGAGATAAAGTGACCTGAGAAATGACCAGAATAATATTCTTTTCCAAGAATTACACTTCTTCATTCTCCCAGATTGCTAATTACCTTTAATTCTTCATGTCAGACACCTATATCACCACATGATCCTTCTGCTTCAAACCTAATCCTCCTTCCTTTCTCTAAACACAATCTTTCTATTCAAAATCATCTTTTCTTATGCTTTTAACCAGACCAGTGCCCCAACCATTCAGCCTATCTTACTTCACTAATTGAGGAGCTCTGGTGACATAGTGCCTAAGGCATTTGACTGCTAACCAGAAGGTTGGTGGTTCAAACCCACCAGCCACTCTGCAGAAGAAAGACTGGGCAATCTACTTCCATAAAGATTTATCACCTCAAAAATCCAAAGGAGGGTGCTATGAGTCGAGTGACTCGAAGGCAGTGAGTTTGTGTTTTTTACTTTATTAATAAGCACCTACTTTAATATACTTTATTCCATTTCCAGAATTTACTTCAGGATATCAACTATTGTAATTAATTTCTCACCTCCAAATGAGTTTCTCTTCCTGAGACATTCCCATAAGTCAGAGTTCTGAACCAGGGATGATTTTGTTCCCCAGAGGACACTTGGCAATTTCTGGAAACATTTTTGGATGTTAAAAGGTGGTTACCAGGAAGGGGAGGGAAAACTGTTGACTAGTTAAGAGACATGTGTTGATCTGGATGAAGGGAAAGGCAATATAACAAAAGTACATGACCAGTACAATAACACGGGAAAGGAGGACCCAGAGAGGTGCACAAAAGGTATAAACAGAGTTAAATACTACTGCATATTAAACACTATTACATATAATATTGTTTTATGAGTAATAACAAGCACTAGTCTATGGGTGTTTATATAGGCAGACAGGCAAGAAGGTCAGGTGTGGGTAGGCGAATGGAATACACCCATGACCATACACAGGTTTGGCCGATGATATTCCCACATGCATATGTGTATGTGCTACAAAAATATCCATACACATTATAGAGCTAACAGGTGACAAGACTGGGATAACTTCTTAGCCACAACCATGGACCCTGAAGGGGTGAGTATCCAGGCCTGTGGGCTCAGGACTATGGTCTTGAGGGACATGGAGTTCAATCAGCACAATATAGTACACAAAAACAATGTTTTATATCCTACTTTGGTGAGTAGTGACTGGGGTCTTAAAAGCTTAGGAACAGTCATCTAAGATGCAATTATTGGTCTCTCCTCATCTGGAGAGACCAGATGAGTGAAGAAGAGTGAAGAGCAAAGAAGAGTAAAGAAGATCAAAGACATATGGAAATAATTAATCCAAGGGACTAATGCACCATGGGAAACTCAGCCTACTTGACCCTGAGACCAGAACTAGATGGTGCCTGGCCACCACACTGCCAACCAGTCAGAAAGGGATCAAAATTAGAGATCCTGGATAGAGTAGGAGGAAAAATGTGAAACAAATTCAAAAACATAAAAGTGACCAAACTTACTAGCCAGATAGAGACTGTGAAACCCCTGAGACTATGGCCCTGGGTTACCCTTTGAGCTTAGAATTGGAGTCACTCCCATCAGTTAGCTCTCAGCCAAACAAGAGACTGGCCTACAAGCTGAACACCTACTACAGGGAGATGCACTCCTTAGAACGGTCAACCATGAGCTACTAGAAGGGAAGCATTTGCTTGGGGAGAAGCTAGACAGACAGGAACGTAGAGGTAAGAAGGACACAGGGAACGGGTAACCACAGGCAGGTGGTGGGAGGACAGCTATTCCATTACTGTGATTATAACTGATGCTGTGAAACTAACCATGTATCAACTGTCAAGTGTATAACGAATCTGCTTTGTAAATCTGCACCCAAATCACAGTAATTTTTTTTTTTTTTAAAGTGGGATGGAGGAAAAGAAGGTACTACTGGCATCTAGTAGGCAGAGGTCAGGAGTACTGCTTAACACCCTACAGTGCATAGGACAGCCTTCCATAACCCAAAATTGCAATGGTGTAGAAATCTAGAAACCTTGCTACAAGTCAATGTCTCACTATGGTATATCCCTTTTGTCTATGCTCTTTATTCCCATTTCAAAATTACAGTCAGTCTTATCTACAAGTTTCTTCATTCAAGTACTACTTGACATTAAAAAAAAAAAAAAAAAAAAACTCATTTCTATTGATTCACCAGCAATGCTATCCATAACAGGAAATAAGTGGCCCTGGGATTAAGTGATAGGAATATGCTACGAGGGAACTGAAGCTACGAGATAAAATGACATAACATTATGAAGTATCAATTTCAATCAAGTATTTGGTGGCAAAGCATTTTTATATTGAAAACAATGGCCATATGCTTAGGCTAAAACATAAAACTTCAATGAAATTTCAGGCTTTAAGTAGAAAATATTCATTTCTTTACTGACTAGACTTCCAATGAAGGAATAGTTTTAGAAACTCTGCCCTAGAGACCCCAGAGGAGATGTCCACATCTTTTACATTGTACTCAGGCCCTCAATTCCAACCAAGACATCAACTCCACTAATTCCTCCCATCTAATCTCCTCTCTATACTTCTTCCTTCCCACCCTGCTACCTCTTACGAACTCTTTAGACTGTAACACACATTAAGGCACAGAACCTATCTTATTTGTCTCTGAATTCAATCCCCTGAATCAAGTGAGGCATCAGTACAGAAGAAGTATAATAAAGGTTTTCTGGAAAAAAAAAAAATGAGTAAGTACCCCCTTATCAGGGGCAGGGAGTGATTAAAACATACCAATATAAGCGGCTCATGATAAATGCCAAGATGAGTAGGTAAAGGGAGAAGTAACAATGGAA